TCGAGCAATAGTGCAATCGGTTGGCAGGTAATTATTCAAACCACTGGCAAAGCTTATTTAAAAATTTCAGAAATTTCTTCATTAAAACCGAACTTTGGTCTGAAGCATCAAAATCAACTACAGATGTGCACCCAGATCACTCACTGAGAGCTCTCGTCCTCACTTGCCATGTAAAATTATTGATAATTATATAATTAAAATTATTTTCTTCATGCCTTAGGCAACTTTTGTCGCGTCACATTGGTGCTAATTATAAGTTTTTGTTTACAGATGTCGGGACTTTTATATGCATTTTTTAGTGTCTTTTTAGTGTCTTGAACATTCTTGGTAGCGTTCATAATGAGTTTATTTTTTATAATCATGAGCAAGTGTATGAGAGGTAACTGTTATGTGGAGCAAGTGTATGAGAGGTAACTGTTATGTGGAGCAAGTGTATGAGAGGTAACTGTTATGTGGAGCAAGTGTATGAGAGGTAACTGTTATGTGGAGCAAGTGTATGAGAGGTAACTGTTATGTGGAGCAAGTGTATGAGAGGTAACTGTTATGTGGAGCAAGTGTATGAGAGGTAACTGTTATGTGGAGCAAGTGTATGAGAGGTAACTGTTATGTGGAGCAAGTGTATGAGAGGTAACTGTTATGTGGAGCAAGTGTATGAGAGGTAACTGTTATGTGGAGCAAGTGTATGAGAGGTAACTGTTATGTGGAGCAAGTGTATGAGAGATAACTGTTATGTGGAGCAAGTATATGAGAGGTAACTGTTATGTGGAGCAAGTGTATGAGAGATAACTGTTATGTGGAGCAAGTGTATGAGAGATAACTGTTATGTGGAGCAAGTGTATGAGAGGTAACTGTTATGTGGAGCAAGTGTATGAGAGGTAACTGTTATGTGGAGCAAGTGTATGAGAGGTAACTGTTATGTGGAGCAAGTGTATGAGAGGTAACTGTTATGTGGAGCAAGTGTATGAGAGATAACTGTTATGTGGAGCAAGTGTATGAGAGATAACTGTTATGTGGAGCAAGTAACTGAAGCTACATATAACTTTGTACAGGTAATTAGTAAGTCACACTGAATGGTGCTCCTGGCGAGGTCTTGGCTAGAGATAGTTAGTGTGTAATAGGTAACCAGTAAGGCAAAGGGAACTAATGTGCTTTGAGTAAAGTGTTGAGCAGTTAACTAGTATGTCATAAGTGAACACTATTACAGTTAACTAGTGTGACACAGACAACTAGTGTGACACAGACAACTAGTGTGACACAGACAACTAGTGTGACACAGACAACTAGTGTGACACAGACAACCAGTGTGACACAGACAACTAGTGTGACACAGGCAACTAGTGTGACACAGACAACTAGTGTGACACAGACAACTAGTGTGACACAGACAACTAGTGTGACACAGGCAACTAGTGTGACACAGACAACTAGTGTGACACAGACAACTAGTGTGACACAGACAACTAGTGTGACACAGGCGACTAGTGTGACACAGGCAACTAGTGTGACACAGGCAACTAGTGTGACACAGGCGACTAGTGTGACACAGGCGACTAGTGTGACACAAAGAACTAGTATGACAGGCAACTAGTGTGACACAAAGAACTAGTATGACAGGCAACTAGTGTGCCTACGGTAACTACGATATGCTACAGATGATTAATGCATCTTAAACGTTACTTGTTTATGCAAGATATAACTTCGATATATTGCATGGAATTTTTGCATGTTGCAACTAGTGTGAATCTCAAGAAGGTTCATATTGGGTAACTTAGTGCATTATTCAGGTAGCTTATGCTCGTTTCAGGCAAATGCTGAGCATAAGAGGTGACTGACACATATACCTGGTAGATATTCTCTCACAGGTCCCATTTCTGTACAAAGAAAGTAGTGTTTGCTGAAAGAAACTATAATGTATAAACATTTCCATGTATATCCGTTGTTTTATATTTTTGGAGAATTTTTTGTAATCAATACCCAGCACATCTTACTTCATATGTGTGGGGAGTAGACAGTAATGTTTCTGATCATTGTTTATTCGTTGTCAATAAGAATCTGAACATGTTTAGGTGTGATCTAATGAAAGGTGCGCTTTAAAGAAACTCGCAAGTCCAATTCAAATTGTAAAATTAATTTTGTAACCTTAATTTTAAAACTTCCTTTCAAAATTAAAACAACACAAACAATTGATAATATGCGCAACATTCATTTACCCAACCCAGGGATTTTTGTTATCTTTTTCCTACCTCAGCACCACTATAGTAAGGTGCCACAGTCCAGCACCACTGTAGTAAGGTGCCACAGTCCGGCACCACTGTAGTAAGGTGCCACAGTCCGGCACCACTGTAGTAAGGTGCCACAGTCCAGCACCACTGTAGTAGGGTGCCACAGTCCGGCACCACTGTAGTAAGGTGCCACAGTCCGGCACCACTGTAGTAAGGTGCCACAGTCCAGCACCACTGTAGTAAGGTGCCACAGTCCAGCACCACTGTAGTAAGGTGCCACAGTCCGGCACCACTGTAGTAAGGTGCCACAGTCCAGCACCACTGTAGTAAGGTGCCACAGTCCAGCACCACTGTAGTAAGGTGCCACAGTCCAGCACCACTGTAGTAAGGTGCCACAGTCCAGCACCACTGTAGTAAGGTGCCACAGTCCAGCACCACTGTAGTAAGGTGCCACAGTCCAGCACCACTGTAGTAAGGTGCCACAGTCCGGCACCACTGTAGGAAGGTGCCACAGTCCAGCACCCTGTAGTAAGGTGCCACAGTCCGGCACCACTGTAGTAAGGTGCCACAGTCCGGCACCACTGTAGTAAGGTGCCACAGTCCAGCACCCTGTAGTAAGGTGCCACAGTCCAGCACCCTGTAGTAAGGTGCCACAGTCCAGCACCACTGTAGTAAGGTGCCACAGTCCAGCACCACTGTAGTAAGGTGCCACAGTCCAGCACCACTGTAGTAAGGTGCCACAGTCCAGCACCCTGTAGTAAGGTGCCACAGTCCAGCACCACTGTAGTAAGGTGCCACAGTCCAGCACCCTGTAGTAAGGTGCCACAGTCCAGCACCACTGTAGTAAGGTGCCACAGTCCGGCACCACTGTAGTAAGGTGCCACAGTCCAGCACCACTGTAGTAAGGTGCCACAGTCCAGCACCACTGTAGTAAGGTGCCACAGTCCAGCACCACTGTAGTAAGGTGCCAGTCCAGCACCCTGTAGTAAGGTGCCACAGTCCGGCACCACTGTAGTAAGGTGCCACAGTCCGGCACCACTGTAGTAAGGTGCCACAGTCCGGCACCACTGTAGTAAGGTGCCACAGTCAAGCACCACTGTAGTAAGGTGCCACAGTCCGGCACCACTGTAGTAAGGTGCCACAGTCCGGCACCACTGTAGTAAGGTGCCACAGTCCGGCACCACTGTAGTAAGGTGCCACAGTCCGGCACCACTGTAGTAAGGTGCCACAGTCCGGCACCACTGTAGTAAGGTGCCACAGTCCGGCACCACTGTAGTAAGGTGCCACAGTCCGGCACCACTGTAGTAAGGTGCCACAGTCCGGCACCACTGTAGTAAGGTGCCACAGTCCGGCACCACTGTAGTAAGGTGACACAGGCACCTTACTACAGGGGTGCTACTTTCATTTCACTACTTACTCTCTTGGCAAATTATGTCCAAGATGTCGGTGCTCATATCTGCGACTCTTCCTGTGATGGCGTCGTTTGATAGAAGGACTTCCTTCATCGTCTTAACTACCACTGTTGTCATTACTACTTCCACTATAAGATAGGTACAAGACTTAACTATGTTTTCCGGAGGTGAATGAGTCGTCCTTTCCTTGATGAGTTGGTATGCCACCTCGTAGGAAGCTGGAAGAAGGTGCTGCTGTCGTGGCTTGAATACAAGTTCATGTATAAATAAAAACACAAAATGCCAAATTAAAGCTTCAATGTAAATATGTGAAACAAGAGTCAAGTCAAAAGCCAAGGTTTAAAACAAAAATAAAATTTAATAAAATAAAATAAAAGTTACTTTAGCACCAGCAATACAACTGTCTTTATACACATCATTTACAAGCCAAAAATAAAATAAAAGCATGAGCACTAATTTCAACTCAATGGCCGAGACACTGACAACAACATTGTATAAGAGTACAGAGCTACAAGATAGAATATCATCCAAACCTAACCTACCTAACTATAACCTAACCTAACCTAACCTAACCTAACCTAACCTACCTAAGAATACCTAACACCACAACTCTTAATGAGCCGCCGGGGTAATTCACCAGGAGTTAGATGTTACCCCAGCACACCGCCTGAGTCCACCAGGTAAACCAGGTGGCTTCTGCCAGACGTTGGCTAGCTTGCCTCCCAGGCGGCAGCTGGTGTGTATACATACACCGCCTGCCTCCCAGGAGGGCAGCTGGTGTGTGTACATACACCACCTGCCTCCCAGGAGGGCAGCTGGTGTGTGTACATACACCACCTGCCTCCCAGGAGGGCAGCTGGTGTGTGTACATACACCACCTGCCTCCCAGGAGGGCAGCTGGTGTGTATACATACACCGCCTGCCTCCCAGGAGGGCAGCTGGTGTGTATACATACAGTACATGCCTCCCAGGAGGGCAGCTGGTGTGTGTACATACACCACCTGCCTCCCAGGAGGGCAGCTGGTGTGTATACATACACCGCCTGCCTCCCAGGAGGGCAGCTGGTGTGTATACATACAGTACATGCCTCCCAGGAGGGCAGGTGGTGTGTATACATACACCACCTGCCTCCCAGGAGGGCAGCTGGTGTGTATACATACACTACCACGTCTGAGATTAAACAATGCAGAAACGCCACACACGAATGAATACTCAATGTCATATTTGCATATTATTATATAGTTTATTTTTTACACTTTACACATACAAAATTGATATAAACTAAACACAGCGTTATACATGACTGCTTTAGATCAGCCAGGAACTGAATAATGAGGGTAATGACACATAACACTGTCCTTCGCAGACATGATATACCGCGCCACCATGCCAGTCGACGGCTGCAAGATCGCTCTGGAGATCCTGGACCTCTCCTCCAACCTGGTGAGTAAATCATATATGGGTTCATGTGAGGACAATGACCGACAGACTGGTCAGCAGAGAGAATGATAAATGGATATTTGGATACAAGGCAGGATACATAAGGTACATGGGCAAGAAGTTAGCAAGATTTAACAAACACTTTTGTGCAGGAAGTTAACGTCTAGTCATTGTTTTATGGGCAATATCCATTGTTTAATATTTGTTTTATTATAAAACGTCGAAGTTCCTATTTATTGTTTCCTAAGGGAATTATTTGATTTAGTAAGTGCAATATTTCGGGAACCAACAATTACTAGTTGTTTATGGGGAATAAGTCAAGAATGACGGTGCTACAGAATGCTATTCTATATATATATACAACAAAGAATTGATATAAAAAAGACAAATTATTAAGTGCTAAGTCAGCAGACACAAACAATGCTCTCGTTATTAACCTCTTGTGAGGCACAGATTCAGACGCATAATTGCTTAGGACTGCATAATTCCTTTCCACTTTCAGCTGCTTGTAATATACTGCCGTGCAGAGGTCAAAGTGGGTCATACCTCACACGACCCTCCATGACCCCTGCACCCTTACCTCCCACGACCCTCCATGACCCCTGCACCCTTACCTCACACGACCCTCCATGACCCCTGCACCCTTACCTCCCACGACCCTCCATGACCCCTGCACCCTTACCTCCCACGACCCTCCATGACCCCTGCACCCTTACCTCACACGACCCTCCATGACCCCTGCACCCATACCTCACACGACCCTCCATGACCCCTGCACCCTTACCTCCCACGACCCTCCATGACCCCTGCACCCTTACCTCCCACGACCCTCCATGACCCCTGCACCCTTACCTCCCACGACCCTCCATGACCCCTGCACCCTTACCTCCCACGACCCTCCATGACCCCTGCACCCTTACCTCCCACGACCCTCCATGACCCCTGCACCCTTACCTCCCACGACCCTCCATGACCCCTGCACCCTTACCTCCCACGACCCTCCATGACCCCTGCACCCTTACCTCCCACGACCCTCCATGACCCCTGCACCCATACCTCACACGACCCTCCATGACCCCTGCACCCATACCTCACACGACCGTCCATGAGCCCTGCACTCTTATCTGTGACTCCTACACAATCTTCATAGACATCTTCGCCTTATCCGTTACGACCCATCTTTACCTTAGAAGGCCTTATTTCTCACGGCCAAAATTGACTCCTGAACCCTAACTCTTACGACCCTCGTAAGAGATAAAAGATCCACGTAAGATATCTCTTGTCTGTTTTCTCACAAATCACGTTGACCACTGTGCCCTAATCTCTCTCTTATCACTTTGGCCACTGTGCCCATATGACCCTCCGGAAGTCAATATGGAGCACGAACAGAACATTTAATAATGATAGTGTTAAAGTCAGATGATGGTTACGAGGCGCTAATTACTGCTCAAGAATTATCTGCGCCTTTGACTGCACTTGACACCAACTCCCCCTTGAGTTGCTTTGATGTCTTTGATGCTTTGACTTTCGCTGGTCTAATCTGACCGCTGTTTGGTCAGCTCTGTTGACCACTCACGTAATTACTGTAATCCCTGTGTGACCTTGTTTGACCCTGATCTTCTTGCTCTCAATGACCCCATGTTCATATTTCCAACCTGTCCTGATCACCTGTAGACCAGCCCATGCTGATCACCTGTTGACCAACCCATGCTGATCACCTGTTGACCAGCCCATGCTGATCACCTGTTGACCAACCCATGCTGATCACCTGTAGACCAGCCCATGCTGATCACCTGTTGACCAACCCATGCTGATCACCTGTTGACCAGCCCATGCTGATCACCTGTAGACCAGCCCATGCTGATCACCTGTAGACCAGCCCATGCTGATCACCTGTTGACCAGCCCATGCTGATCACCTGTTGACCAACCCATGCTGATCACCTGTTGACCAGCCCATGCTGATCACCTGTAGACCAGCCCATGCTGATCACCTGTAGACCAGCCCATGCTGATCACCTGTTGACCAGCCCATGCTGATCACCTGTAGACCAGCCCATGCTGATCACCTGTAGACCAGCCCATGCTGATCACCTGTAGACCAGCCCATGCTGATCACCTGTAGACCAGCCCATGCTGATCACCTGTAGACCAGCCCATGCTGATCACCTGTAGACCAGCCCATGCTGATCACCTGTAGACCAGCCCATGCTGATCACCTGTAGACCAGCCCATGCTGATCACCTGTAGACCAGCCCATGCTGATCACCTGTAGACCAGCCCATGCTGATCACCTGTTGACCAACCCATGCTGATCACCTGTAGACCAGCCCATGCTGATCACCTGTAGACCAGCCCATGCTGATCACCTGTAGACCAGCCCATGCTGATCACCTGTAGACCAGCCCATGCTGATCACCTGTAGACCAGCCCATGCTGATCACCTGTAGACCAGCCCATGCTGATCACCTGTTGACCAACCCATGCTGATCACCTGTAGACCAGCCCATGCTGATCACCTGTAGACCAGCCCATGCTGATCACCTGTAGACCAGCCCATGCTGATCACCTGTAGACCAGCCCATGCTGATCACCTGTAGACCAGCCCATGCTGATCACCTGTAGACCAGCCCATGCTGATCACCTGTAGACCAGCCCATGCTGATCACCTGTTGACCAACCCATGCTGATCACCTGTAGACCAGCCCATGCTGATCACCTGTAGACCAGCCCATGCTGATCACCTGTAGACCAGCCCATGCTGATCACCTGTAGCTTGGTGTAACGTTGCGCGTCTCTCCTGCAGGATGAGGTGGTGGTGCCGCGGGAGACGGTGGCGTGGGCGGAGGCGTGGCTAGTGGTGTACAGCATCACGTCGTGGGAGTCCTTCCGCGTGGGCGTGCGGGCGGTGGAGGCGGTGACGGCGGCCTGCGGGGCTGACCAGCCCAACCCGCCCGTCCTCATCATGGCCAACAAGAAGGACCTGGAACACATACGACAGGTGAGGCAGCCAGCCACAAGTGAAGCTGCGGCCAGGACGGTCTGCTGGCTCTACCGGCGTCAGGGTTGTTGTTAATGCTGTCTGCTGGCTCTACCAGCGTCATGGGTGTTATTAAGGCTGTCTGCTGGCTCTACCAGCGTCATGGGTGTTATTAAGGCTGTCTGCTGGCTCTACCGGCGTCATGGGTGTTATTAAGGCTGTCTGCTGGCTCTACCGGCGTCAGGGGTGTTGTTAAGGCTGTCTGCTGGCTCTACCGGCGTCAGGGTTGTTGTTAAGACTGTCTGCTGGCTCTACCGGCGTCAGGGATGTTGTTAAGGCTGTCTGCTGGCTCTACCGGCGTCATGGGTGTTATTAAGGCTGTCTGCTGGCTCTACCAGCGTCATGGGTGTTATTAAGGCTGTCTGCTGGCTCTACCGGCGTCAGGGTTGTTGTTAAGGCTGTCTGCTGGCTCTATCGGCGTCAGGGGTGTTGTTAAGGCTGTCTGCTGGCTCTACCGGCGTCATGGGTGTTATTAAGGCTGTCTGCTGGCTCTACCAGTGTCATGGGTGTTATTAAGGCTATCTGCTGGCTCTACCGGCGTCATGGGTGTTGTCAAGGCTGTCTGCTGGCTCTACAGGCGTCATGGGTCTTATTAAGGCTGTCTGCTGGCTCTACAGGCGTCATGGGTGTTGTCAAGGCTGTCTGCTGGCTCTACCGGCGTCATGGGTGTTATTAAGGCTGTCTGCTGGCTCTACCGGCGTCATGGGTGTTGTCAATGCTGTCTGCTGGCTCTACCGGCGTCATGGGTGTTATTAAGGCTGTCTGCTGGCTCTACCAGCGTCATGGGTGTTATTAAGGCTGTCTGCTGGCTCTACCGGCGTCATGGGTGTTATTAAGGCTGTCTGCTGGCTCTACCGGCGTCATGGGTGTTATTAAGGCTGTCTGCTGGCTCTACCGGCGTCTTGTGAGAATTCTCACAAATCGACTCATACACATTAGGGGAGGTATATATTAAATTTATATATTTATGCAGCCAATCAAACTACAGTATTAAACTACATTTTATAGTAAATAAATTGATGTGCCTTATCTTATTATATGGTAGGCTTAGTCCACCAGGTAAAAGCATGAATGCCGACACCAAATAATCCTCTAGCGAAGCTAGTATCTCCACCCATGTAACTGATGTACCAAGCAACTGTACTGCTTCCTCTTCTATTTTTCCTTTCGAAGAGCACTAGCTGTAAAGCCGGAATCCTAATATATGACAGCTATATCAGATGAAACACTGTATATTATATAAAATAAGGACCAAGGATTAATTACCTGTATTTAGACGCTGTTTCTCGTGCTAACCAGTTCGCCCTATATCTACCTAACATTAACTGGTCAGATAAACGGGTTTCGGTAAGACACTTTCCTTGTTTAGATGTTGACTGCGTGTTGATGATGGAAGAAGCACTAATTTGATCTCCATAATACTTCGTCCAAGGGAAATTATAGGAGCTGAATTTGCTCCCCAGCGACTCGGTCTAACAACAATGGCTGACCTCCCTTACCACTTATGCCTGGCTCTCCTTGTCCAGATGTCAATATGTGGTAGAAAGGTCACATTTACGTTATTTTGATACTGATAATTAAGTTAATTCAAATGAGATGTTTTTATGATGTCAAAAGTCCAAAGACTATTGTATTAACAATAATTCCCAAAAGAATAGCCGGTGAATTTATTGCACCATTTTGCATTGATGTCCCATTTTCTATTGATGGAAATTTCCACCGTGCTACATTTTCTATGGGTTAACTTATGTTTACAACACAGCAGTAATATTTTCTGCTTATTGCATTTAATAATAATAAATGGTGTCTGGTTTTCTAACACCGTCTATAATTAATAATAATTATAAGTCAGGAATTACTATACATTGATTATTGCCACGCAGTGATGAAATATCCTGATTGTCATCATGCACAGTATATTCTCACCCAATGATCACCCTGAACTTAATAAATACTTGTTCTTTAACATTCACATGTTATTTATCCATTAGTGGCATTCATCATCATCATCATCGTCATCATTCCATGATGGTCAACCTGGCATTCATTATAGCCAATGTCTGACTCACGCCCAAGGCGCTGAAGGGTACCCTCGGGCACTGATTATCGCCGTGAATGGGTTAGCTTGAGGCGCTAATTATCCCCTCCTTGCAGGTGCCGGAAGCTGAGGGCAGGAAGCTGGCCGATCAGTATGGGTGCCGATTTGTTGAGGTCTCTGCTGCGGAGATGGTGCCCCAGGTGAGTGGCTCGTCGTATGCTGCAGCTTCGTCAGTTAACTTCGTCAAGCTTCAAGAAATAATGTCTCTTAAGCTTCGCTAATAATGTGCGGGAATTTACTAGTAGGATTTTATTTATTTTATTATTATAATATTTACTTCAAAATTTATGTTAAATGATTAAATTAATACAGTGACTGTACTTCTAGTGGACTGTATCTTTAAATTATTTTCCTGCCATGTGTTACCCATTCTACACATTTTGGAGGTTTATATGTACGTACATGTCCGCCTGACAGCTGGGTGGACAGCGCTTCGGATTCGTAGTCTTGAGGTTCCCGGTTCGATCCCCGGCGAAGGCAGAGGCAAGTGGGCAAATGTTTCTTTCACCCTGATGCTCCTGTTACCTAGCAGTAAATAGGTACCTGGGAGTTAGAGAGCTGCTACGGGCTGCTTCCTGGGGGTGTGTAACAAAAAGGAGGCTTGGTCGAGGACCGAGCCGCGGGGACACTAAGCCCAGAAATAATCTCAAGATAACCTCAACAAGGTGGCCTATCTATCAATAAATCAATTGAATAACAATAGGTTACTAGGAAATTATTAAGGATTATATAGTCTACTGCTAAATATGTTGACCAGACCACGCACTAAAAGGTAAATGGACGACGACGGTCCGTCCTAGACCATTCTCAAGTCGATTGTGATTACATACTTCAGTTACGTTATTGTTACGTTACTCATTGCCTACTGCTAAATATGTTATTGAATACAAGGAACAGCTTAACTGTTAAGGGTGATTTGTTGATTCTCCAGTCATACACTCGTCCTGAACACGTTAGCCACGTCTCTCGTGTGGTAGAGGCAATATGGCTTCAGGAATGGTTATAGGTAGATTATGACTCGTTGCAGTTATTTTCATTCCTCTCGATTTCATCTGTGAAGTAAGTACATCGTAGTTGAACTGAACTATCAGGGAAAAGCGCCAAGCCATTACGACTATATAAGTACATCGTAAACACAAGTAAATAATTTGAGGGCTGAATACGTTGAAGGAGACGGTTGTTAATATAATGATGCTCACCCTTCTTGGGTGGGTAGCCGTCTTCCTAACCTATAGCACTAGTGATTAGTTATCTGTGAAACGGAAACGTTGCACTTCCTTATATCTAGTGAAGATTTGTAGAACTAAGAGAAAACACTATCTTCTCTCAGCTCGAATCTTCACAGGAAGATCTGTAGAACTCAATCAAGTGTGTCCTCTGCTACCTGTTGTATGCACAAGTATGGCGTCACTTTCTTATGAAAGCTGGTACGTCTGTACGTCTCGACTGCCATGTGCCTATTGCATGACGTCGCTCCAAGCGACTTGTTCCCTCCCGACTCCGTCCTGGACGCTTCCAGATTTCTCTATGAGTCAAATTTAATTTAAGGAGGTAAACGCTTATTTGCTCATTGGTTTTAATTAAATCTAGTCTTTATTAATACTTTTATCATATTTTAACTCTCAGACTGGAGGCGTTACGAATTTATTAAGAGAGATATTAGGTAGATCAGCTACTTTGTTGACGTGACAACTCCCATTTTTCCTGGGGGCTACTAGGTACATTCTCTGTGATAAAGTTAGCAATATTAATCTTGTTAGTAAGTACCTGACATAACGATTTTAATTTGGTATGTCAGTGGTTAGTAATTTGATGTCGGAATTACCGACAAATAACAAAATTTTATTCTTCAGAAGTCGCTCGTGTGAGTCGTCCTTATCAGTCACCAATAGTTAGTCTTTCATCCTGTACAGTTGTTTAGATGAGTCATTCTTCCAGTTTCCGCTCGTGTCTGCCTTCTTCCCGTTATTCTTCCTGTCTGTCATTCTTCCAATATCCATTCATGTCAGTCATTCATTCAGTTTCCGTTCGTATCAGTCATTCATTTAGTTTCCGTTCATGTCTGTCATGCTTCTAGGTCATGTCAGTCATTTTCCAATTTTTATTCATGTCTCCAATTTACCAGAGAACGTTCATATCTACCAGTCTTCCAGATAATTCTAAACCAATCAACCTCTACAATGATAAACCAACCATTCCTCTACAGGAACCAACCAGTCCTCTACAAGATACCAATGCACCAATGTATACCTATTGTTCCAAGAGTTAATGTTAGTTCTTTTTCCAGGAATTGTCCGCAATGAAGACAACCGCTCTCCTCTCCCCAACGGGTCAATCATATTTTCTTTTCTAACATCTCATTCTCGACCTACTCTTTCCTTACTTTCTACTTTATAACACTCTTTTCTACTCTCTTCTCTCTACTCTCTCTACTCTCTCTACTCTCTCTCTCTCTCTCTCTCTGTATGTATCTAATTAATGATCTATCGTTCTACGTATTGTTCCTCTTACATATTCATCACTTTCAGTTGGTTACATGCTAATGAGTGTTTGTGTCTCGCCAGGTGAACGACTCCATCGACGGGCTCCTGCGTCAGGTGTCTCAGTTAAAGGGGCAGACGTCCCCACGCCTTCGCAAGCTGAGTGTCTCCAAGATGTTCAATCAACTCATGAACTTGAGCAGTGGAAGCAGTGGCCATCAGGATCACCGCCCTGTCATGCCTCGGGTTTCTCTCCGGGACCGAGCTAGAAAGCGAGGTCATATCCGCCAAAGCTGAGGGTCACCTCATCTGATGAAATAGAATATTGTTTGGAGTGTTGGGGTTCTGCGAGCTCCGAACTCGATCTTCAGATTGGCTTCGACTGGCGTGCTTTTCTCTTCCTGAGCCGATAAAAGGAAACGTGCTGAATTTACCACTTGACCTGAGACAACATGCATCAGTACTTTGAAATTTGGCTTGACCTGTGTTGTGAATGTTAAGCAACGAGTTAATCAGAAAGAAGCTTTTTTGGGTCTTGCAGACTTTGAACTTCTATTATATTTAGATTTTCAACTCTTTAGCCTCAGAATGAGGAAAAGTATTCTAAAATAAAGTTCCAAAATTATAAAAGGCGAAGATATCGTAGATGAGGTCACTGAGCCTCGAAGGGGCGGTCAGTCACTGGGCCTCGAATGAAAGGTCTTTGGGCCTCGAAAAGGAAGATCACTGGGCCTCGAAGGGGAGGTTACTGGGCCTCGAATAGCAGGTTACTGGGCCTCGAATGGGAGGACACTGAGCTTTGGAGGGGGGGTCACCACCGAGACTCTGGCGATCATTAATAGGAAATCCCAATATCGATCAGATATATATGTCATATTCAGATCCCAAAACATTACTGCATAATAACTGACTGATCTTCATTTTCTTACTCACCTTGGATTTTCTGATCAGATTTTCACTACACATCGGTGAAGTTTCGGTGAAGGTTAAAAAAATATCTAGATAAATACAAGTGTCGGTACTGTTGTTCTCTCGCCCCATCTTGCCATTGGAAATAGGGATCATCGAAATTGCCATGACAATATTAGATTATATTAAAAGCCTGCGGCATTCCAACGTCCAGATGGACACGTTTACCCGCCTTCCCTCAATGTTCAGCTAAAAATACTTAAGATATTCATACCCTCTCGAACTTGGTTTTCATTTGGAGAATCAGATGTCTATCTGGAGTATGTCCCTTTCCGTGCTGTGCGCGGTTTGTTGGAAATTTGGCCAAGGAGGACGAGAAAATTTGGAATGCAGAGGTGCCCTATTTTTTGGGTCTCTTTGTTAGGAGCCTTACTATATTAAGACTTTTGCATTGATTTTGATTGGTGGTCACCTTGCCTTCCCACACTCTTGGGCTTACTTTAAAATGAACCAGACCCTTTAGTACCTCTAGCAGAAAGTCAATATCTTTTTTCTGGACCACAGTGCCTTGGTTACCTTCAGTACATCACATAAGCACTCTCGTGTTGTGTGGAGCTTTTGACTAATTCTCCTTCTGGTTCCCAAATCCGTAATCATTTCCATGTTTTCTTTACTGACACCGCGCCTGATGCGCCACATTCTCCTTCACCACAGTGAGCGGTGGGGAGTGTCCCTCTCCTCACATCCGTGCACGTCTCAGCTCAATCTCCACACTCTATTTTCCACTCCGTCCTTCCCTCTGTGTTTTGGCCCTTATTCTGCGCTAGGTCGCAACTCATGTCTACCTCTGTGACGCCACTAATATTGACCTCTGCAACCGTTTCTGACATCGTAAACATCATTGTGACAACTGACTCCCTCCACCTTACGTTCTTCAAGTGTAGGACAGATTCTTTCTCTTCCTTGTGAAAAAATGAGGTTTAGATTTCTGACTATTCCGTTTCGTCCAAACTCGTTCCAGAATCTAACAGCATCTTTGATACGCACCAATACTGGTCACAAGCGCCCGTCCTGCGTTCACCTTCTTTCACAATTAAATTTCTCTGCATGACCAAGATCCCTTTCATGACTATCACAGGTTATTCTTCATTGCTTATTTTACGTATGCCACCAAATCCTACTCATTATCGTAGTTATGCCCTTCTAATATCACCTCAACATTGTAATTGTTAGGTCAATTAGAACTACTGCTCTTTTAATCAGAAACGATGTTTCTCTTCTTCCCAAACATTTTTTTTTCGATAATCATTTTTACTGCTGCTCGTATATTTGTGACCAGAGAGTATGCTCTCTTCTTGTTGTTGGGTATTTAGCTGTTGACCTGCTATCTTGGGTATGTTGCTGTAGACATGCTATCTTGGGTATGTTGCTGTAGACATGCTATCTTGGGTATGTTGCTGTAGACATGCCATCTTGGGTATGTTGCTGTAGACATGCCATCTTGGGTATGTTGCTGTAGACATGCCATCTTGGGTATGTTGCTGTTGACATGCCATCTTGGGCATGTTGCTGTAGTCATGCCATCTTGGGTATGTTGCTGTAGACATGCCATCTTGGGTATGTTGCTGTAGACATGCCATCTTGGGCATGTTGCTGTAGTCATGCCATCTTGGGTATGTTGCTGTAGACATGCCATCTTGGATATGTTGCTGTAGACATGCCATCTTGGGCATGTTGCTGTAGTCATGTCTGTTTGGGTAATTCTCTTACTAACAAAGCTGGGTACCCTGCCATGTTAATGTCATCTCTACTGAACTTGTAAAAGCCGCTGCTATGGTGGTAATTCATTCCTGTTTAACTTCTCGAAGAAGGTCTCCTTCATTCAGAGTACAATTTGATCCTGTTAGCTAGAAATTTTGTCATATATTAAGGATAACAATCAATATACTATTAAATATGACAAACCTTCATGACCTACTTCCTGCAACAGCAATAGACGGTGGGAAACAGCTCATGCTAAGATGCATGTTTGCCAAGTCTTTCGTATTGGTATCTTCAGAGATATTTATGACCTGTTGGGGATCCCACTACACAGACGGTACTGAATAACCTCCCCCAGCTTTGGGCCCTCTCGTGATAATTACTTCTCTAATATCGTGGCCATCTTTTGGAACCCCTTTATCTATACCTTTGCTGAATACTTGCGAGTTGACGCTTCTTACTAAGGTGGCCATTCTCCCCGCAATTTGTCCATCTACCTGAACCAGGATTAGCAGGTTCTTGAGACGACCTACCAATTAACAGGGATAAATTCCCCATGCTCTTATCCTTCAATTGTTTTCCCTCCCACTCTCGCTTTTCCCCAGAGGTATTTTGAGAAAGGTAACTGGAAGCTCTTCATCTTCGTGGTTATGTTGCTGATGAGCCGGTGTTAGTTAGGAAGGGAAGCATCTGCAAGCCTTTTGAATATGATAAGGTGCACACTGTGGGATTTTTAGAACATAATCGGTGCCTCTTCAATCTCAAATTGGCTTTCGCATGTGTGACGAAACAACTGAAATTCTGGTAGATTTGGAGGTTTAAATTCTTAGCCCAATTACCCATAGAAAAGGTGTTGTGACCATCCTATTTAACCTAGACTATCTGGATCTGTAAAACATTAGACCAATTGCATTCTTTTGGCTGCCTGGGCAGTTTACCATGCTTCATTCAAATCTTTCTCCGATTCATATGATAAGTCAAAGACTAACTCTGCCTTTTGGGTAAGGTTAGATTTGGAATGAATGATAATTCTTGCCCTCTTCAGATATCCAGGAATCTAAGTTTGGCTGAAGATGGATAGTAAGCTAATATAATTTTGTTCCTGGGAGCTGGTTTTCCAGGTGGAGTTGGGTGGAGGTTGTGGGGTGTGGAGTGGGGCTTGTAACAGGTGTGGAGGTGTGGAGTGTGGTGGTAGAGGTTGAGGCAGCCCGTCCTCCTAAGGTTTCCCAACGTCAAGAAACTGCCGTTCTAAAGTGCCCATATCCTAACGTACCAGAGGCCCAAAACAGAAAACGGGACAGTATGTCAATATCGCGAGTCGCTACCATTTACAAGTGCGACAATTTTTGGCCTTAGGTAGAGTATACGTCAAAATGCTACGCTTTATTAGGAGGACGGGTTGGTTGAGGTATGGGGTAGGGGTTTTGCGGGGTTCAGTGGGGTAGTAGGAGTGGAGGAGTTGTTTCACGAAGCCAGGCAAAACAAGAAAGTACTAATAATAACATTAAGAAAACGCAGTCCTCCCGGCTTGGCGCCTGCTTAGGAAATAATTGTTTACCTACTTATGTAGATCTGTTTAACAGCGCTCACAACATTAAAGCGGCAGGAGTAGAAGCTGCTGACACTTTTCAAATGTATTAGTATCAGGAAGACAGGTAAAGCATTAAACCATAAATCTGTACTGTTTATGAGTGGTAATTGACTTACGAGTATACGCTCCTTAACTACATTGACAAGGATTAGCTACAAAGTATTCTTTTAAAGCAAATTTACTAATTTGTGCATTTCTTCTCTTGCATTTGTTATGTAAATATTTCGCTTGTTTTCCTAATAAAAAACACTTTGTGATATATAATTTTTGTCTTTCTAGACTTAAATGTGGGTTTTGCTTTTAATCTTTGCATACCATATGCATATATAGTGTCTTAAGAGAGAAAGGTTTGTCAATATTTACTTTGACAAAAACTTGTAGATAACCAAAAATATTTATGTACGAAGTTATGTCTGATGATGATTACAAAATTCTGAAATGCTCTGGAAGTAATAATTTATACTCTCGAAGTAATCATTTAAAATTCATAATTAGAAAATACTCAAATAATTAAGGTACTGAAAAAACTGCACAGTTCTCATACATGCTCATGTTATGCAATATGTATCTGCAACATGTATCTTTGTACCCCTTAGAAAGGGTATAATATTCCCCTCAATGGATATAACATACCATTTTCTATATAATGACGTGTTTGTGTTCTCGCACAGAGGCTCTTAACTAAACTGTTAATATTATTTTTGTTTAGAGGACTCCGCGGATATATATTTAAGGTGAATTCGAATGTTCCAATTCTATTATGGAGGCGGACCTTTATATATTATATTCATTGTTAATTATATTTGAAAAACTATTATATGTACAGATTAATAATAAACATTTTGATAAAACAGGACTTTTTACACCACTATTAGACTCACGTCAGGCATGTATAAACCGATATATCTTGATAAAACATTCACGTATGTCTGTATATAAGTATGTTTGTATACTTAGATCCCTGGCTTCACGTACACATTGACATTCCGTACTTCAAGCATCACAGACTGTTGGCAACTCCACACCTCTAACACCACAGACGTCCACTAACAGTACTTGGCATGCCAGCAATACGTCCACTAACAGTACTTGGCATGCCAGCAATACGTCCACTAACAGTACTTGGCATGCCAGCAATACGTCCACTAACAGTACTTGGCATGCCAGCAATACGTCCACTAACAGTACTTGGCATGCCAGCAATACATCCACTAACAGTACTTGGCATGCCAGCAATACATCCACTAACAGTACTTGGCATGCCAGCAATACGTCCACTAACAGTACTTGGCATGCCAGCAATACGTCCACTAACAGTACTGGCATGCAGCAATACGTCCACTAACAGTACTTGGCATGCCAGCAATACGTCCACTAACAGTACTTGGCATGCCAGCAATACGTCCACTAACAGTACTTGGCATGCCAGCAATACGTCCACTAACAGTACTTGGCATGCCAGCAATACGTCCACTAACAGTACTTGGCATGCCAGCAATACGTGCACTAACAGTACTTGGCATGCCAGCAATACGTCCACTAACAGTACTTGGCATGCCAGCAATACGTCCACTAACAGTACTTGGCATGCAGCAATACGTCCACTAACAGTACTTGGCATGCCAGCAATACGTCCACTAACAGTACTTGGCATGCCAGCAATACATCCACTAACAGTACTTGGCATGCAGCAATACATCCAATAAGTGTGTTTCACTTGCCAATGATGTCACACTGAAAATACGGACCCCATAGCAGCCAAAGTACAATTTCAAAATTTTTTACATACCCATACTGAGGGAAGGGTTTTTGACACTATAAAAAAAAATCCAGAGAATTTATTTCCTACCACACTGTGGGGGGGGGGTGTCATATTTGGAGGCAACGCAGTTAAGGGGTTAAGTCTTAAGTTTTGCTAGTTGTGACGGACTTATTTGTAGACCAATTTCATTCTATTTTCGCACAGTTATGAAAACATATGCATTCTCCAGGTTAGGTT